CTTCGTATAATTCAATTCCTCTGCCTTTTCTCACTTTCAAGGAAATGGATGTTAGCTTACTATTCTAGGGTATCATTTTATTTTTTTCAACGATCCCTTGTTCTTTTTTTCTGTCTTTTATTTATTTTTATTTTTTTTGGGTATCCATGAGATCCCAAGTATGCACGGGTTTACGCGAGATCCCTCATATCAGTTCTATCTACTGTATATCCCTTTATATATTTATTTTTTTGGGTTCTGAAGGGAAGAGAAAGAAAGGAATCATACTTTATGAAGAAGTGTAATGTCTTGTGTGGCTTCAAGAAGAAATTTAGTCGAATGTATACCAACTCCCAAGGTAAGAGACGAAGTCCTGATAAAAATTAGAGACACCGTTAGATCAACAAAATATCCCAATGAATAAGGGGTTTCAGGATTGTTGATACGGCTCATAATCATTCCAAACTTCGGTTATGAGATCAAGCATAATCAAGAGTCATAGGAGTGTTAGTCCAAATCAGAGAAACCGTTAGACTGAGTTCATAGTTCCCAACAAAACAAATTGACTCAGTAAAACATTTTTTTTTGTTTTTTTTTCTGACTCGATAAAAATCCAAATATAAACAAAGTCAGTAACTGCCTACCCCTAACTTAAACAACATTTTTCCTTGTTTTACCAAGCCTAAGACTCGCGGAGAAAAATAAATTAAATGGAAATTGTATGAAAAAATGACAAAGATTCGGACCAGTCACCAGATGTGTAGTGGTGTCGAACGATAGCCTCTGCGTTTGCAGATAGTCATATCAAAATTCTGAATGTTAGTTGTTGTGTTGTGCATTATTTGTTTCAAATTCTTCATGTTAGCAATGTCAAGAACACTAAAACACATGTCAAAAGCAAAAACATCGATAATAATGACCCCATTCATACAAATTTCAAAGAAGAAACAAATAACAAACTAACTCAAAGCAAGAAGAAAAATGACTTAAAAGGGGAAAAGAAACACTTAAACCAGAAATGGTGAGGCTCTAATCCTCATCGCTCTCATCAGCAACAGGTGGAGATCGGGAACGAGGACGACGACGTGCAGGATGAACACGACCACAATGAGACAAGGTAGCTATCACGTTCCAAATGTTGGTGACGCTCTGAATCATATAATTTTGGAAAGCAACTTTCTCCATGGGAACATATAGTGGTCGTGGCAGCCCGTATTGTGCTAGTGCAGAAGAAGATGAGCTCCAAGATCAGCAACAAGCATGGGAGCAGCTTGAGAAGAAGAACCTCTGTGAAATCGTGAAGCGGGTTTGGGACCTGCAATGTTCATATCGGGATTAAAGCGGAGATTATCTTTTTCATCTCCAATGTCTGTAAGCTTTCTTTAAGGCAGCTGAATCATACGTGCACATGTACTGTCGCTAAAACACCATAACCAGCCACCCATCTTTAATCCACTTAGCACTCTTCAGATAATCTTCATCCATCAGGGAATGTGCAGTGACAATTGAACATCAGCCTGTGCTAAATACTGAAAATAGGATTAAGTAGACTCCCAACACAATCAAACTTTTTCCTTTTCCCTACAAACGGCTTAGTAGTCTTAAGGGAGACCAAGTCATAGCAAACACCACACCAAAACTCACCCTAGCTAATTGAGAATACTCCCAATCGTCTTCTATAAAAGTACCTAATGCATAAGACAACAAAGCTAGTTTCGATACTCCCATTTTCCCAGCCCTTGTCTTCCATAAAATGGTGTTCCCAATAGCTCGAATGACATACCTGAAAATGGGATGCCTGACGTCTGATAGCGTGGAAGTCTTGGAATTGTATGTCCCATTCCCGATGAAAGACTAGAAAACCGTTGCATCATTATATTGCGCAGGCAATGCATCTCTAACTGGATTCTTATCAAACCTAAAAATATCACATAGATTGAGAAGTGAAATGTGATATCGGACTCCGCGGATGTAGAAAGTCAGAGTGCCTTCATTAGCTCATCGAACTCTCTTGTTGACGTAGTAAATTTGCACAGCTGCAAGGAATTGGCGCACCAAGTCTGGAAATAGGTCATACTGCTTGGTACAATGGTGCCTAAACCAATCTCCTCGAAAATGCACAGGACCCTGTTGGTCGAATGTCAACTTGTAACCATGCATTGTACCATAGAGTATCATACTCATCCCAACCAATTAAAACCGGTCTGTTGATGTATTCTTTCTTAGCGAGTTCCTTCTTCGCATCTTGAAAATCCGTTGAGGAGGAATTTTCAAACTGTCTCTATTTGGCCATGGATGGCGAGAAACCACTTGAGAAGAAAAGGGAGAGCTTGCCATAGTAAAGAGAGGACTCATCGGAGCTTCGTCGGTCGCGAGAATTGAAGAAGAACCTTCACCGCCTGTGGTGGGGAGGGATAGTGCTGTCAAAAAAAAAGAAATAGAAACCGAAATCAATCGATTTGGTGGTGAAACAAGGAAGATATGGCGATTTACCTCTCTCAAAGTTGTGTTCGTTGATTTTCTAAAAATAAGAAAATGAAGAACTTTCTCGGGTTTTAAAACCGAGAAAAGTGTCAGTAACTGTGTCGAGAGACACCCATATGTGGTGTCGATCGACATCAAGAATCACACTCGACAATTTTTTTCTTTTTAATCACAGTTTTCTCAATTAACTCATATAAAATTCTAAAAATACTGAATAATTCCTAGAATTAAAATTAAAATCGTAAAATTCAAAATAAAAATTTTTAATCCAAAATAACAATTCCCTTTTTTTATAATTCCTAAAACCAAAAATCAAAATATATAAAAATTGACTAACTTACCAGTGGGTTGCCTCCCACTAAGCGCTTGTTCTAAGTCAATAGCTTGACTTGGTAACGGATTAGGCTAAAGGTGTAACATTCAAACGCACAATGTGTCCGTCCTGAATCTCGGCTTTCGCCCAATAGTGTTTCACCCTTTGACCATTCACCGTGAATGGCTAACCATCTTTACCTACCAAGACAATAGCTCAATAAGGTCTAACTTCCTTGATGGTGAAAGAACCTGACCAACAATAACGCAATTTATCATGAAACAATTGCAAACGAGAGGTATACAGAAGTACCTGGTCATTTGAGATGATCTTGTTATCATGATATGCCTTTATTCGTTCCTTGTAAAGCTTGCAGTTCTCATGGGCATAAAAACTGATCTCATCCAACTCATTTAGCTCAATCAACCTCCTTTCTTCAGCTTTCACAATGTCAAAATTCAGCTTCTTTACTACCCATTTTGCTTTGTGTTCAAGCTCCACCGGTAGATGACATGCTTTCCCGTAGAGTAGATGGAAAGGTGTATTCCCAACTGTTGTCTTGTATGTAGGTCGATATTCCCAAAGCGTGTCAGCTAACTTGGCTAACCAATCCTTTCTCGTCAGACCAACTGTCTTCTCCAAAATCTGCTTGATTTGCCGGTTGGAAACTTCAACTTGTCAGGTAACAAGATATTTGGAACCTCAGACTCCGAAACACATTTCCTATAAACCCCGTCTGAACAATGCTTGTACAAGTGAGGTTCATCCCAAAAGTACTATCGGATTTCTCTAAAGAACTTCTTCTCAGTGTAGTCCTTAAACATGTCAGGCTCAACCTCTGCAGCAAGATAGTTCGCAATATCAACATAGTACGGATGATTAGAAGACTCAACAACATCCAGTTCCTTGTCAAAATCGGAGTCTGGAAAGAAAGTCCATGGGTGTCGATCGCCACTGGTGGTGGTGTCGATCGACACTACTCCTAAGTATCGAATGAAAGTGTCGAGGAGTGCAATGATATGGATTATTTGCTAGCCTTTCCAACATCTGATCAATGAAAGACAAAGGAAAATGGTCCTTCCTTGTCGTAGCATTAAGCTTCTTGTAGTCGATACACAGCTTGTGACCGGTAATGGTCCTTGTAGGAATCAGCTCATTTTTCTCATTCTTAACCATTGTAACCCCTCCTTTCTTTGGAACCACATAAACCAGATAGATGATCCCAACCTCTAGCAATTTTGTGATCTCTTTCTTTACAACTTCTTGCAAATTTGGGTTCAACCTTCTCTAGTGTTCTATTGACGCCTTTTCAAGGTGAATCTTATGCATGCAAAATTCTGTAGAGATGCATGAAAGATCATCTAGAGAATAGCCAAAAGCCTTGTGAAAAATACGCAACTTACTTAGTAGTAGCGTGAGCTCTACGTTGTTTAAGGATAGTGTAATTAACAACAAAACAAAAAGGTAGATTTTTCATGAAAATAATTATTAATTTTAAAGAGATGGATATAAACAATATTATTAATATGAATTTATCACGATACAATATGGTTTAACACGATATATTCATAAACTTATTGATACATATATTTTGTTATTGTGTTAATCTACTAAATAATCATTTACCTCACAAATATTCTTACACAAACAATATCGTCAAATATGGTTTAACAACTCATATTTTACATATTGATTTCAATATGTTATCTTATCGTGATATCATATTATTTAACAAAATAAACGAATAGTTATACAATAAAATTGCAAAAAGTTACTTTTCCGTAATTTAAACAGTGTTTATCAGTCTCATATGAACAGTATTATTAACTGATAACATAGTGTTACTTTCGTCATTTTCCAAACATAGAGGTAAGATGTCAATTAATCGAGACCAATTTTTTGTTTTTACTTCTTGTACTTTTTGTGTTAAAAAAAAAAAAAAAACTTTTGTGTATTTTATTTTTATTTTCCACGTGATTCTTCTTCTTCTTCTTCTGCTCATCCCTTGATATAATTGTGAATGGGTGTCTTCCTTAAAATATTTGTTTTAAACTTAAAAAAAAAAAAAAAAAAAAAAAAATCTGAAGAAGTAAAGAAAAATACTCATTTCCTCTTTGGGACCATATACACTTAATTTACTCTTAAATTTTTGACCAAACATTTTTTTTTATCATCTGTCTAATTAAAATGTTATTATCAGAAAATACAAAAAAAAAAAAAAAAAAAAAAAAAACTGTAACTGTCATCGTACCCAGTGAAAGAGTTGTCATCTTCATCATCATCTTCCCCAATCATTCTCTTGTGAAAATTCACTTTCCCGGTGAATCATTCAACCATTGAAGTTTAGAGATGTCGTCGAACTCCACGACGGAGGATACCGTCGCCGTTCCACTAATCTCCTCCCTCCGCCGAGCTACTAACTCTACTTCTCAAGTCGCAATCGTCGGTTCCAACGTCTGTCCAATCGAAAGCCTCGATTACGAGTACGAGAACCTCTCTCACCGTTACTTCATCTTCCTCAATTTTGCTTTCTTCTCTCCGTTAATTTCATTGTTACGCTTTTCGATTTTAGGATCGCGGAGAATGATTTCTTCAAACAGGACTGGAGAGGTCGTAGTAAAGTTGAGATTTTCCAATACGTGTTTATGAAGTGGCTGCTTTGTTTTTGTATTGGTATTATTGTTAGTCTCATCGGATTTGCTAATAATCTCGCCGTTGAGAATCTCGCCGGTGTTAAGTTCGTCTTCACTTCTAATATGATGATTGCTCGAAGGTGAACTGGGACTCTCTGTTTTTGTAATTTTTCAATTTGTGTTTGCTTTCGCAATGTTGATGAGAGAGTTGAAATTGTTTTTGACAGGTTTGGTATGGGATTTGTTGTTTTCACTGTTATAAACTTGGTTCTTACTCTCTTTGCGTCGGTCATTACGGCTTTTGTCGCGCCTGCTGCGGCAGGTTCCGGTATACCGGAAGTTAAGGCTTATTTGAATGGTGTTGATGCTCCGGAGATATTCTCGCTTCGTACTTTGTTTGTTAAGGTAATGATTTTTGAGGTTTTTGTGTGGTAGAGTTGGGAGATTTGTTTCTGATAATTTTTATTTTGGGTATAGATCATTGGGAACATATCTGCAGTGTCAGCGTCTCTTCTCATAGGTAAGGCAGGGCCTATGGTGCATACTGGTGCTTGTGTTGCATCTATACTTGGTCAGGGCGGCTCCAAAAGATATGGATTGAACTGGAGATGGCTTAGATTTTTTAAAAATGATAGAGACCGAAGAGATCTTGTTACTTGTGGGTCAGCTGCTGGGATTGCTGCCTCGTTTCGTGCTCCAGTTGGTGGTGTCCTGTTCGCTCTTGAGGAGATGTCATCTTGGTATGTTAAGTTGTGTCAAGTTATTCTCTTTAGCTCAATGGGTTTCTTATCTTAAGTTCATTAGTAGCCATAGCGTTGTTGAACTTATTGGCTCGTTGGTACGTTACTGTCACTTTGTGAATAGTTCATTAAGCTAGGATTGGGTTTCTTCGTTGTAGGTGGAGGAGTGCACTTTTATGGAGAATCTTCTTTTCGACGGCTGTCGTGGCAATTGTCCTCAGGGCTCTAATCGATGTGTGTTTAAGTGGGAAGTGCGGGTTATTTGGTAAAGGAGGCCTAATAATGTTCGATGTCTATTCAGAAAATGCGTCTTATCACTTGGGGGATGTACTTCCTGTTCTTCTCCTTGGAGTTGTCGGTGGTATTTTAGGAAGCTTTTACAACTTTCTACTGAATAAGGTTCTGCGAGCTTACAACTTGATATATGAGTAAGCTATCCTATTAGATATATTTATTTAACAGACAACAAAGTAGATAAATATCTTGATCGCCAACTTCATTTTCTGTGTAGGAAAGGGGTTGCTAGTAAAATCTTCCTCGCTTGTGCGATATCAATTTGCACGTCCTGTCTTCTTTTTGGATTACCATTTCTTGCATCATGCCAACCTTGCCCTGCTGATGCCATAGAAGAGTGCCCTACAATTGGACGGTCTGGCAACTTTAAGAAGTACCAATGCCCCCCTGGTCACTACAATGATCTAGCTAGCCTCATTTTCAACACAAATGATGATGCTATCAAAAACCTTTTCAGCAGAAACACTGACTTCGAGTTTCATTATTTCTCGGTTCTCGTATTCTTTGTCACCTGTTTCTTTCTCAGTATCTTTAGCTATGGCATTGTTGCTCCAGCAGGTCTCTTTGTACCGGTTATCGTAACAGGAGCATCGTATGGACGCTTTGTAGGGATGCTGCTTGGTTCAAACTCGAATCTTAATCACGGTCTGTTTGCTGTGCTTGGTGCTGCGTCCTTTCTTGGTGGAACAATGAGGATGACAGTTTCCACATGTGTTATTCTCCTTGAGCTGACCAACAATCTGCTACTACTACCTATGATGATGGTGGTCCTTCTGATTTCAAAAACAGTTGCAGATGGTTTCAATGCTAACATCTATAATCTCATCATGAAATTAAAAGGGTTTCCTTACCTCTACAGCCATGCAGAGCCTTACATGAGACAGCTTCTAGTTGGTGATGTAGTCACAGGCCCACTTCAAGTCCTCAATGGCATCGAGAAAGTCGAGACAATTGTACACGTTCTCAAAACCACTAAGCACAATGGCTTCCCCGTGATTGATGGACCGCCACTTGCTGCAGCTCCTGTTCTACACGGTCTAATCCTCCGGGCTCATATTCTTACGCTGCTAAAGAAACGAGTATTCTTGACTAGTCCAGTGGCTTGTGACTCCAATATCCTTTCCCAATTCAAGGCAGATGAATTTGCTAAGAAGGGTTCTGGAAGAGGTGATAAAATAGAAGATGTGGAACTAACCGAGGAAGAATTGAATATGTATTTGGATTTACATCCGTTCTCTAATGCCTCGCCTTACACTGTTGTGGAGACCATGTCACTTGCAAAGGCCCTAATCCTCTTCCGCGAAGTTGGGATAAGGCACTTATTGGTCATACCAAAAACCTCCAATGTAAGTGATTTTGGTTCTCATCAACACTTTTATTTTCTGATAGACACTAGTATGCTTGATACATATAAGTGAATATTAAGAAAGAGTATAAATAGGTTGGAGGGGGAACAGTTTAGAGTCTTCTGAATTTTAATCATTGTTTTGTTTAGTTCTCTGTATATCCGATACTTCTTGGTTTTTTGGTTTATCAGTTGTGGAATACTCAATTCATATCGAATTCGTTAATTTGTGACTAAAGAAAGTAGTTAATCTGAATTGCAGAGACCTCCAGTGGTAGGTATATTGACGCGGCATGACTTCATGCCGGAACATATACTAGGCCTGCATCCGTCTCAGTCACGGAGCAGGTGGAAAAGGCTTCGGATTCGGCTGCCTTTCCTCTCTTGAAGTTATTCAGCTGCATGTCTACTTTCTTTCAAGTATGACAGCTCTGATCAACTCTCAATGATTATATATTTGCAAATGTTCTTTGTGGTAATTATTCGACTTTGTATATGAATCAACATTTCTTTTAGTGTTAGAGATACAAAGATCTGATGCAGAGAGAGTTTATAAATGTTTTATTTCTTGGAAGAAAGCTGGCTCTTATTTGCCTAACCATTAGAACATGTCAGAGCTGAGGTTTTAAAAGCAATTATTTCATGACCACCACCACAACGCCACTACCAGTGACTTCTTCTCTCGAGCTTATGTTTTAATCTTTTGTCCGTGACATTACTCAATTCACCAACACACATGCAACTGCATCAAGAATAGACTAAACAAAGCAATAAACTCAACTCAAGACAGTCTCATATCATCTCTACACATTTTGTTACAATCAATGAGGAAACCCAAACTTCAATGTCTAACTGTTGAGACTGTAAAAACAAAATCCCAATTCTTATATCACTCTTGACCTGTAACAACTTTGTACTGGCTGTTGAACAAGTGCCAGACTCACTTGACTTCACAAGACACAGTTTTTGAGTAACAACTCTTTAGTCTTTTTTACATGTGTTGTGTTCGTTGTGTTTCTTCTACTAGTTTCCTCACATCTGTTTAAGTTGCACCAATTAACAATAGTAGTGGTTTATATAATATATTTAACATAATTTACATTAATGACATTCTCAATATAATTAGGGACTTAGGGTAATAATAAGAAGTGAGTTGGCTGCTTTATCAAACACCAAAGTTAGATTTACTTCCAAAGTACTTACTGTATATATAATTTACTAAGTTGGCTGCTTTTGAACAGCAAAGTTAGATTTTACTTTAGAATATAATATAAAATTGAAATGTGAAGTTAGATTTACTTTATCATTCTAGACTACACAAAAAAAGTCTGAGCTGCTTTATATATCTACCAGTAAACTTGGATGTTTTCAAGAAACAACCAAATTTTACAAAATAGAACAAGTTTAATTCCCAACCATAACGTTTCCATAAAAAGGGTCGACATGAGTATGCAACGATGATGGATGAAACATTTATGGAATTTTTCTTACCTAACACTAGAGAATGAATTTTCTTGAGTATTACTCGTGTGTGTGTGGGTTTTGGGATTTTCCTAAATAAAGAAATACTTCACGTGAATCCTTTTTGGTCATAGGTCCCCTCCACCACCTTCACATTTCATTTCCTTTTTCTCATGTCAGCTTATAATGTTTGTGGTTGTATATGAGTCAATAAATTAAAGATGTTACACATATAAATATGAATATGAATATGATATTACTAGTAGGTGAATATATACAAAACACACGGGGTTTTTTAAATTCTTAGACTGGGAATGGTGGCCATAAAAGCAGATAAAATATATCGAAAACCGCATTTGTACTGCAATTTTTTTATAAAAAAATACTATAGTTGAACCGTACTGTACATTAAAACCGCTTCTCCCATATAGTCAACTACTCTATTATCATTCAGACTCTTAGATTGGTTTCTTTTGTGACCAAGCCAGTTTTTTTGTAAGGATATATTTTTTATAATTATTGCTACAGATGTTTGAAATAATAAGATCGATTATGTTTGTTAATGGCACAAACATTTGTAACTATTTTTTTGGGATGTAAATATTATTTATAGAGATTTATTATATCGGATTTCGTCTATCATAAAAAAGTCCGTTATCCGTATTAGAAGATAACTCATTTGAAGTAGAAAGCTTACTCGAATTTTATCGTAAGAAGCCAAAATACCCGAGTTCGTCACTTCGCCAGTCCAATATCACCTTCTTGATATGTTTATGTCAATTTAGGGACATTCAAATGTTTAGTACTCCCTCGTTTTTTATATATTTTAGAGAAAATATTTAAATATTTAATTATATATATATATATACACTAGTTTTAACAATTTATATTACGTAAATTGTTTTCTACTTGGTTGAATCGTGTTTAGCTAGATATTACATAATATTTAAAAAATAATAATAATAATTGTAATTTCTTTATTTGTGTGCATAATCTTTAAAAATCAAATATGAAGAAATGAAGGGAATATGAATCAGTGATATCTAGGCATTTTTAATGTGATGTTAAATTGACCAAGATTGAGCTTAAGAGTAACACAATTGTTTTAACGCATAAAACTCACATCGGGTCTTAAAAGAGAAGAGACAAGTGGATACATCAGGAAAAGGATCTAGAAATATTTACTCCTCGGAGATCTTAAACATGTTTTTTTCCATATTCTTCTATATCGTTACTTGGATTCCTCTCATGCACACTTTCTATTATTAAATGGCACCAACACAAATGTACTTTGAAGTATTTAATTAACATAATTATATTTAGAACCCAAAAGTATCAAATTGCTTTTTCAAAAAAAAAAAGGTCTCAGATTTAGTGTTTAATGTTTACATATATATATTTTTTTTTGTAAACTATGTTTACATATATAATTACCAAAAAATGTAGTGTGTTAAATTAACTCTGTTAGTGTGAAAGATAATAGATATTGGAGGTAGTATTATTTCCATTTGTAAAAAATTTCAAGATATATATTTTTTAAAATAATTTACATTAACGTAGGAAAGGTTTTTAAAATTGTAAGCTAGTTTAATTTCATATGTTTTTTGTAAATATTTTGAACACTATCATCAGATGAGGCATTCAGAAAAATCAACTTGAAAAAACATTTCACTTATTTACAACCATGGATCTGATTGGTAGCCACGTCTAAGCGAAACGGTTACAAAACTTATAGCAATTGCAGAGAAGACGGTTAAAAAAAATCAAAGATAACAGATGGAATAGTATAATTTAATTAAAAATTAAAAATATAAAGTAATAAATCATTATCTAATTCATAAAATGATATATTAAACTAGTTAAAGAAGAATTGTTATAATGGTAAAGAATTATTTTTATTACAATAATAAATTATAAAAAGTGTAACAAATTATAATAGAAAATTGAAATTAATTATAAATTACAATCTAATACCAAAAACAATAGCAAAATGATAGAATAAAAACTATGCAACTTTTATATAAAACCAAACATTGGTCTTTCTAAGTGATTGAGCTTGGCTTTGCGATCATTACCACTTTCTGCAAATGCTTCTGTTAACCAAGATCTCAACCGTTTCTCTAAACGTACTCTTTACTGGCGATAGTTAAAACGGTTTGTTTGTGAACGAGTTAAGTGAAATCAATCTAACTTATTATATTGTACAAATTTTTCACTCTCTATTATATTATTATTTTTCATAGTATAATTATATTCCCTCTATTATTTAATACATGAATTTTTTGACTTTATTTATCAAAAAATAGATGATTTTTCATATATCTATCCAAAATTAAATAGATCATTATTGGTTTAACAATTTATATCATACATATTATTTTTTACTGGTTGAACTGTATTTATGTAGATATAAACAATGTTTTTATTTCCAAATAAATGAAAATTAAATAATTTTTCAATTTATGTGTATTTGTCAAAAAAATTCATCTATTTCAGATGAAATATTAAATTAGTTAAATCAATACATAGGTGTTGCTTAAACTATACAGTTTGATTGATTTATAAAATATCATTAAGAAATTTTATTATAATGTATTATTTATCAGAAAAAGACGTGAAAATCATTGGTAAGCGAAGTCACATTGATAACAGACGACTAGCAGTAAACGTATAGTATGAGTCAGACTCTATACTGTATTGTTGTATAATTTTAAAATAAAATACATCAGTTATTTTAAAATACATTTCAAATGCATTGATTGTAGGATTATAAATTTTTGTGTCTTATTGACGTCAAAGAGATAAACAAATCTAATTTCTCTGCCATGTCCCCTAGAATCAAGTTTACTGCAAATTTAAAAATTAGTAATTTAAAAACCCATTAGTTGTAACTTGTATAATATATAATTGACCAAATTTTCAAGAGAAAAATTGTATGGGACGTTAAAACAAAATTTGAGTCAATAAAATAAAATAATGCATTACAGATCATTTGAATTTTTATAATACTTATTATAAATATGTTTATTAAGAACCACTCAATAATATGACATTGCATTCAAATGAAGCTCTATAATACTTATTAAAAATAAATATGATTATTAAGAACCACTCAACATTGCATTGGTCAAACAAAAATAATGTTTCATCATTCGGTTTCATTTCCATATAAAGACATGGACATTTCAAATAGCCATCTTTGCCATTTTGCAAAAAAACATTATCTAATTTGTTTTTCTTATTTAATAGTTAATACTTCAAAATATCTATCTTTTAAATAAACGTGACAAAAAGAAAAATACATTTTAATTTATCTATTAAAAAAAAAAAAAAAAAAAAAAAAAAAAAAAAAACCAAGTTGCTTGGTGAAGCAAAACTCATTTCTCCCACTAATGATATATGATAAAGACATAACTAAGAGAATCTTTCATGACTTTTCTTCTTTCTCATCACTACAAAAATTCTCTTATGACTTCCTCTTTGTGAGTTAAGAAAAAGAGATCAAAAGAAGAAACAAGAGCCATGGCTGCTCCAAGATCAAGAAGATGCTCTCTTTCTTTGTTAACCTTTATCTCAATATCTCTTATTCTTATAATTTCAGTTTCACTATTTGTCTTCACAACAAAGCCAACTAATAAGCCTTTGATTGATTACAGAAACCAATTCTCTATTGTCTCTGTCTCTTTCCCTCTTTCTCTTTCTCCTCTTGGACACAACACTAGTCTTGCTGCTCCTGTCTCTTCTCCTTCAAGCAACCCAACAAACACAAGTACTCTTGCTTCTTCTTCTCCACTAGTACTACCTCTTCTTAAAGAGAGCAATACAACAACAAACACTACTCTTTCTTCTGGTTATGATGATCAACAACAAAACCAAAATAAGTCTCCAAGTCCTACAAGTAAAAGAGTTGTTATCAAGGTATGTATAATTATTCTTTTTTTCTTTCAACTCTCACAAATAAACCTTTTTGCTATATATGATCAAAACTTTGTTTTTATTATTAAATTTTACTCTTATTAATTTTGGTATATATGGCTATGGATCAGAAGAGAAGTGGGTTGGATAAAATAGAATCAGAATTAGCAAAAGCAAGAGCAGCAATTAAGAAGGCAGCTTCAACACAAAACTATGTTAGCTCCCTCTACAAAAACCCAGCCGCCTTTCATCAGTTGAGTTTTTCACAATTCTTTTTACTCTTCTATATAAACCAAAAAAGTTGAATTTATCAAAAATTAAATTAAATTTCTCAAGGTTAAGTAATTTACAAGTACAGTGTTTAATTAGATTTATTAGGTCAAAGATGATATAGGGCTGACAATTTTCACATGGATATTTTCTATTTCCAACTATTAGAGCATTGGTTTCATCAAAGAGCTCAGCATTTAATTGAAGTTACAAATAAAGACAAAACAAAAACACACAATTACGCAACGTACTTTGTTTAACGTAACGGCTCTGGTGAGATGCCTCTTTTTAAGCAAAAAGCTTCTATTCTTTTTTGTCTTTTTTTTTCTTTCTTTTAATTCGAAGAGATTTTAGTATTGTAATTAAATTTTTAAAAGTTTTTTTTAGATAAAAATATAATTCGGTTCATATAGGATATAGATTTGTGAATTATCCACACCGTAACTTAGATCGCTTACATAGAAAAATAAGAAATCTTGTGTTAGAACCGTTTTTACGAGTCGGTCCGTCCTACTTTATAAGATACATACGAATATTGTTTAAAAGCACAACAATTAAGAAATATCAAAGATGATTTCATTTATTAAAATTCAACCAATAACAAAAATATTGCAGAATTTAAATAGTCATAAACAATTATAGTAATAGAAATTGTGCATAGAAAAATGAAAAAATCTAATAAAATGAAACAACTAAAAATGCGAAAACATCTTATAAAGTGAAACAGAGGGAGTAAATGATAAGAAAAAAGAAAAAAATTTATCACAAAAGCAGTAAAATAAAATTTAATATATTCAACTACTTCATACGAAAATATTCAAATAACCCTTTTTAACATATAAACTTATTAGTTAAAAAGCTACCATGAAAAGGTATTAATCATTAAAATATTTGCTATTAAAAACTATTTTTTTTAAAGCACTTTGGGACTTGATTTTTCTTCTGTAAATCAAATTCTATATTTAATACAAAATTGAAATATATAGATGTTGGTTCATTCGATAGAGATTATACGATTCTTTAATAAACAAGTAGGAGATAAAATATAAGAAAATTTAGTGAATACGAACGTGGCACATCCGTAGCTAACCTCAGTGACCTTTCTTGATACTTTTTAAGATGTAACCTTAACTATGCTAAACCTTTTTTTTGTAATTAATATAACTTCCTTTTTTTTAAATGCAGTAAAGAAAGTTTAATTAAAGATTAAAAAATCAAATCACATGTTGTAGCACTTGTATACATAAACATTGATGTAACACAACACTCGTGTATGAACAGGAGTCACACGGAAATGATGAATAGGTTTAAGGTGTGGACATACACGGAAGGAGAGGTCCCATTGTTCCATGATGGCCCTGTGAATGACATTTACGGCATAGAAGGACAATTCATGGACGAAATGTGCGTGGACGGCCCTAAGACTAGAAGCCCTTTTCGGGCCAATCGTCCCGAGGATGCTCATGTTTTCTTCGTGCCATTTAGCGTTGCCAAGGTCATACACTACGTTTACAAGCCCATCCGCTCTGTCGACGGGTTTTCGCGGGATCGTCTTCACCGTCTTATAGAGGATTATGTTGATGTAGTTGCTACTAAGTATCCCTATTGGAACAGAAGCCTTGGAGGCGACCATTTCATGGTATCATGCCATGACTGGGTACGTATATTGTATACTCTTCTACTTTCTATTTTACCGTTGAGATTTTAGAAGCTTTTTTAAAGGTTTAAAAGGTCTTATAAAAAGGCTTTAAATTTTATTTATACGATATCTATATAATACACATTTGTTTTTATAAATTTATATATATTTGGATAAATATCAGAATTTTAGTGACACTTTTGGAAAAGAAACATTTTTGAAAAGGGGTATTTTTAATATTTCCGTAAGAGTTGTTGAAATTTGGACACTGCAAAATCAAGGTTTCTACTCATTTAGTTTTGGAATTTTTTTTTTAATATAATATTTATTCGAACCCAAAAATGTTTAACCTATCGCGGATGTTCATTTAAACTTTTCAATATTCTCATTAATACAAAATTTTTTTATTTTAATTCGTTAAATTCTAAAAATTATCTTTTCTAATTGGAATAGTCTTTTTATATATCTTGTGCATATAGGCACCAGATGTGATTGATGGGAATCCAAAGTTGTTTGAAAAATTCATAAGAGGACTTTGCAATGCTAACACCTCGGAAGGATTCCGGCCTAATGTGGATGTATCCATTCCCGAGATCTACCTTCCTAAAGGTAAATTAGGTCCATCTTTACTCGGAATATCACCGAGAATTCGATCTATACTCGCATTTTTTGCTGGAAGAAGTCACGGTGATATCCGAAAAATCTTATTTAAACATTGGAAAGAGAGGGACAATGAAGTCCAAGTCTATGACCGTCTTCCCCCGGGAAAGGACTATACAAGACTAATGGGAATGAGCAAGTTTTGTCTATGTCCGAGTGGTTGGGAAGTCGCTAGCCCGAGAGAGGTTGAGGCTATATACGCTGGTTGTGTACCGGTGATCATATCGGATAATTATTCATTACCATTCAGTGATGTGCTTAATTGGGATTCATTCTCTATACAAATCCCTGTGTCCAGGATAACAGAGATCAAAACCATTCTGCAAAGTGTCTCTCTTGTAAGATACTTGAAGATGTATAAGAGAGTGTTAGAAGTGAAGCAGCATTTTGTGTTGAATCGTCCAGCTAAACCCTACGATGTGATGCATATGATGCTTCACTCTATCTGGTTAAGGCGACTTAATCTTAGGATTGGTACATAGTATACATTTTTTGTTTTGATACAAATAATATTTAAGGTGTCTAAAATTCATATGAGTTACTAGCTTTGTATTCTTTCTATAAATTTGCATAGTTCTTCATTGTAAATGTACACAAACAACAAACACAAATCAAAGAGTTTCATACTAATAAGAGAAACAAGGCCTTTTGTTATTCGTGTTATTGTGTTCCATTATGAACTATAAAATGTTAATAATACATCGATCATTTAATCTTATACATTTTCGTCATCTTTAAGGTCTCCAAGAAGTACATATAAGATCATTTAACTAGGAAAGAAGCATTTGGATCCAAACAAGTAAAAGGGAAGTACATTAAGATGTGTATAAAAAGGATAAGCCAAATCGGAGAAGAGATCGGATGACCCTTTCTCCCCGAATGACAAAGCGGTTCACGATAGATGTGACCTGTTTTGCACTTATACATTTATAACCATGTATGGTTAGTGATATCTTTGGGTCTGAGTTAGATCAAAGAATATCCCTAAAATCTATGGTGGAAATGATGTTACATATGTTCATAGATTCCATGATTAATGCTTTCATTTACTTAGTCACTATGGGATGGTTTTAAATACTTTGGTGTATGAACTTTGAGCTCGGGAGATACTTAGTCAGTAACGTGAGTTGGATTAGATTTTGCATCATGAACTTGACCCGAATTGGTTTTAGAATTCTTACACACAAACCAATAACACCCCCTTAGTTTTCCTTGTTCTTAACTTATTACAGATTCAATAATTTTTTGCTTGCTTTACTTATCATTTCTCTAGTTGATTGTGTCATTCATACATCTTATACGCCTATGAATACGGTCCGGTCGGAATTTAAAAAGGGTTACCGGAAATAACCGAATTACATACAGTTCGGTTCGGGTCGCGTTATTCCGTTATTTATTTTGGTTACCGAAATTAACAGAATATTTTAGATTTTTGGTTAGCTTGCTTAAATCGGGTCGGTTAACTTAATTAAGTCAGGTAAATTTGGTTTAATTTCGGTTAATTTTGGGTAATACGGATAATTTTGGGTATATCGGGTTGGGTAATGCAAGTAATTTTGGGTAATATGATAATTCGGTTAATTTCAGATAACTCGAATTAACCGGTAACCGATTGGAAATTATAATCTATTCTGATCGGTTATCTTCTCTTAACCAAAACCAAACCAAAAACCGGGTACTATTCCCAGGGCTATTTATAACAAAGTTTTTTTTTCTTTCTTAAAGCTTACCAAAAACAACAACCAAATATCTTATAATCTATTCTTAATTATCAAAATGTTTGACACCTTATCTTTTACAACTTAGAAAAATATGTTGCAAGGGTTTTGGTAACAAAACAAAAGTAAAACACTTAAGCTTCTTGAAGAGTTCTCTGTTTACATTTTACATTCACATCCTTTTCATTATTTCTTAGAAACCCGTTTCTGCACTTTCCTCAACTTACCAACTTTTACAGCATCCTGTAGAACCCAAAGTTAAAAGTTATAATCAAATATGTAAAATGGTTTGACATAAAATTTTAAAGAGGAAGCAAAAGAAGAAGAAGAAGCTTACTTGTATATTCCCTATGTCGCGTAATGGTTGTTTGTTTGCGTCTTTGTCGTCATGGCTAATTCCAGCAGGTTTCTTACCATCTACTGGTTGTATTGGTTTTACGGTTTCTTCTTCTCTGTTACTACATTTGGAAGCTAAGCAGCCACACGAGTCTCCACATCCGTTTCCATTTGCCCTGCATTTGCAACTTTTGGTCTTGCACAAAGATTTTTTAGAGCAAGAGCAACACACTTCTGCTTTGCTCTGCTCTTTTTTGCAAAGTGTTTCTTCAGGAGGTTCCAGTTGAGATGGCTCCGGGGTTGTTTGGTCGTCGGTATTCTTGCTGGTAATAGAGCGTTCAACTGGTTCACCCTGATGAAAAATTTGAATCGAAAAAATCAGACCACAAACCAGAACAGTTGGCCTTAACTAGTAAGGTGTAAAATTAAACATTAGTAACCTGAACTTTATCTGTTTCACTGAATTGGGATTTGGTCATTTCCATCTGACTGACTAAAGTACTCAGTTTGTGAAATTCTTCCTTAAGTTCCTTCAGTTCTGAGTCCATTGGAGTATGGTTGATTTGGTTGTCACATGATGCAGAGCTACATAAGATAAGACAATATAATCAAACACCTAAGAGAACATAATTTAAGGCTACGACAAAAGTTTAGCTATGATCAAACTAACCATGAGCTTTGATCTCCCTCAAATTCTGCCTTCAACACACTTGCCTCTAAGCTGAACCTTTTGACCTCTTCAGCCATTCTGATGAAAATAATAAAGAACACATAATTTCAGACTGTGGACGCAATAAAAAGTTTTATTAGCTTCACGTAATGTTTTACATAGGGTTGAAATAGCAAAAAGAAAGGGATATAATATCCAACAATTTTTCTATTGAGAGCTTACTCTTTCATTTGGCGTTCGTAATCAGAATGGATCTTATTCAACTTCATTAGTAGCCCTGATTCATTGCTAGACTCCTGCACAACCAGAATCAGAAACCATTTGTAGTTCCAACTTATAGAAATCAGTCACCACCGCATATATTACGTAATATCAAGAGTCTATTTCTTCCTGTGGAAGTGTAAGGTACCAATTGTAAAGATACTAAACAAAGAATTCAAGAAATAGTGCAGTTGAACGCCTATGCAAAACTTAACCAATTGCTTAAATTCTTGTTTAAACTAAAGATGTTACATTCATGCTTAATTAGGCTCAGGTATCCATACCTGAATCCCAGAGTTTGTTCCTTTTGATGGACCTGGCAAAATACAAAGAAGACACCTGAAATTTAGCAAAAGACACAAGGAAAAGAAAGGAACCAAATACTAGCTATCTGTTAAGTGACCTTTGCTTTTGTTGGAAGAAACTTTTCTAGAATGAAGCCGCATTTTTAGGCGCTTCAAGGCTGTCAAAGCTTGTGTACTCTTCAGCTGCAGAATCTGAGTAAAAGAATATAGAAATTAACAAGCTGCATGGACACAGTAAACCACGGTTGCTAAAATATACATACAGAACAGATCAGTCAGCAGAAGTTGTACCAGCTTCTGTCGATTGTTCAAAGCTGACAGGACATGTTTCTCAAACTCGCTTTTCCTTAGCTCTTTTTTAAGCTGTTAGAAGAGAAGCTCTATTAAGTTAAAAGCCTGAGGTATTGAAAAGCACTTGACAAGGCAATAACAATTGTCGACAAAACCCAGCAAGAGCTGATCTTGACATACAATTCTCAAAATCAAACTACCATAAATTGGATCAGGAACTGGGTATATATATACAACAAATATCTCAACTTCAAATCTAAACTAAAATCATGGAGTTTTCAAGAACGTTTAATCATAGATAAGTATAGTAAGGCAGGTAACATAGAAAATGGATAACAATTAAAAAAGGCTACTCTTTTTACCTGAAGAACTTCCTTTTCTAGTGAAGCTTTCACTAGTCTAAACTGCATAGAGTCTAGCTTGATCTTACAGTGCAACTTAACCTGAAAATTAACCACAACTCACAAAAGTAAAAACCCAAAAAAAGCTGCTGCATTTCTCATTGAAACTTTACATTACATGCAACAAGATGCTTACTTACCTTTTGCGCTTTTAATTTCTGAACTTCACCATCACACTGCTTAACAGAACTCTCAGTTTTATACTTCTTTGTTGAACACATAGAGTTCAAATTTGACTTACTCCTTGTACTCATACCCTATACAAATATTAAGGGTTACTAATTATATAGCATAAACATCCTTCCTTAACATCAAAACCTGAAAAATAAATTCACCTCCTCTTTTGTAGCAATAGACTTCTGAGAAAACTCTCTGCTCGACTGTAACGTACCAACCGAAGAGCTAATCGAAACATCAGCCAATTTTGACCTTAACTCCTCCACATCACACTGCCAAAATCAAAAACAATCAGTTCCAAGATTAATCTAGAACCGATACAGGACTAATCAAAATCATAGCACTACCGATTCCAAATATATCAACAGATACTCTAATCTCATTATCATCAAACACTAAACGATTTCACACTTCTCTAAGAACATATTCTGCAAAATCAGAAACTGTAACGAAGAACATCATCCATGAAACTGAACTATAAACGAAATTTTCCGAGAATACATCTTCCAAAATTACGAAATCACTGTACCAGAAGAAGCAATCGGAGAAAAAAAATTCAAAAACAAAAATGGGGGGAAACCTTGAGAGCTTCGTTCACGGACTCCAGATCTCGAATCTTCTTCTCGTAAAGCTTCTCAGCATCGTCTCCGAGAGATGACTCCTTTGATCGGAGATTTTGCTTCTTCGTCATTCTCCGGCGATGAGTTCTTCAATTTTTCTCGATGCGAGTGAGTGAGAGAAACAACAACAACGCTCCTTCTTCTCTCTCTTTCCTAATTGGTGAAAAGGTGCGGACAGATGAAGTATTTGAAATTCACTATTTTTCAATTAATTTTCATAATGGGCCTAAAGTAGAAAAGCCCATATAATTTTCTAGCCCATTATTTACTTAGCTTATATCTATGTCACTGTCACGTTTTGTATATAATTCGTTTTGGGAAAAGGTCTGAACTTTGTTTGCACATGTTGTTGCATAGTGCATACTTTTTTAGGATTCGTGTTAGGCGCTGAAAAAAAGATTCTTCTTCTGTGGACTCCATGGTATTAAACGTTGAAATTTTTCTTTTTCCACATTGTATAAATAAAAACCTTTTTAATATATTACTCAATTTTATTCTATCTAAACTTTTAAAACAAGTGTTTTTTTTTTCTTCTATTTAATTGTCTGATAAAATTATTTGGATAAAACTTAACCGATTAGATTGAGAGTCACAAAATCATTTTGAATGATAACAAATGTTCTCAACTACTGATGAAAGATCTTTGCAGAAGATTCGTCGCTGAAATTTGTCTTAGTTAATTTTTCGTTCCTAAATCTATGTAATATGACTTTTTTTTGGTCAAAATAATATTATTTATGCCAATAGCCAAAACCAAATCTGGGATAAATATACTCTTAGGGGGAGTTATTGGGAGACTGATTTTAAAAGAGTTTGTGGATTTCAAAAGTTTAGAGATTTTAAGATTCTCAAAAAGATTTGTTGATTCTAAAATAATGTTTACCCAGATTTTTAGAGTTTAATAGATTCTTCATATGATAGACTCTACAAATCCTTATGATAATTGCAGTATTTTGAAAGTTGTTTTTAATGACTAAATATGTAAGGAATCATAAAACCAATAACACTAGAATTTGATAGAATTGGAAAATCAATAAATACTCAACTTTTTGAATAACAAAGGATTTTAAATAGAATTACAAAATACATACACCAATAACAAGAGATTTTATTAAGAATCTAAGAATCCGTACACCAATAACAATAAAATTTTAAACTCTAAAAATCTTTAAAAGTCATTCTCCCAATAACTCCCCCTTAATTTAAATATGCAAAAGGATGACATAAATTAATATTGAAACAGAGAAAGGAAACTAAATGTTGACATTGGAAACTCTATCGATCTCATTATCTTCAAAGGCGTTAAATAGACAAATAAGCGAATGAATCAGTCCAAGAACACTAACAAATTCCTTCCCTAAACTAATATTAGTGAAGAATCTTTGTTTACCTTAGCACTTCAACGAGACCCATCAACTCTTTCATTTTCTTGAATATGTGCAGTTTGAGATAAATAAGTTAGAAAAATATTCTATCAATTCAAATAAAAAAAGAATAATAAACAAATTATAAAGAATTTTTTTCAACTCATCCATCTCCTATTTCGTAAAGGAATGAGCTGAAATGCTATTCAACTTCTTTTTGTTCAACTCATTTTTTCGAATTCGTTCATTCTTTATGCAACTATTTTCACCTACAGTTGTGAAAATATGTGATTAGAGTTTTCTGCCTAACTATATGTGTTCCCTCGATATCTAGTGAAATATTTTTTACATTGGTTTCAATAAGTAGCTTGACATGGTTAGAATGAAAAAGAAAAAAAGTAGGAGTTACATAATTTTTTTTTTTGTTAAGAGTTAATAATTTTATTTTGTTGATATGATATGTGATTTAAAATAAATAAAAAATATTTATGTGATGTAGGCATTAAAAATGGAGAATTTCAAAAGATACCCCTTTTTAAATACCACATTTAAAAATAACCACTTTTTAAATTACATCAAAAATCCATTAAAATTCTGAAATGTATCCAAAAAAGTGTATAAAATTATATAAATAAACACAAGTTACATTTATATGTGTGTAAAAAATTATATATATTTTATAAATACGTATAAATAATTTTTAAAATCTTTTAAAACCCTTATAAAATTATAAACCATTTAAAAACCTTATAAACCCCGTTTAATACCTTTTAAAATCTTATAAATATTTTGATCGAGTCTTCAAGTAATAGTTATTATCTATAAATATCTTATAAACTATATAAAACTTTATGTTTTTTCAAATTTAAAAAGGGGATTTTTAAAAATGGATAGATAAAAGAGACATTTCTCAAAATCTCTATATTAGTAAAAGAAAAGTACAAAATAGAATACGGGTCGGGTCAAAATTAACAAAATTAACCCGATTTTAACAATTGGATACTTCAAAATTGGATATTAAATTGGGTTTCGATACATACATTGGATACTTTTTTTTATGTCATCATTACAAATTATAAGTCTCTCTTTGAAAGCGAATTACGAATAATTGCTTTTTCAAAATGAATTATGTTATGGGTTGGTCCTTGAAAAAATATATTGGAAGTATGTAATTTTTACGTATATTCCTACTTTTACTACAAAAATGGTCAAACTGAATAATTTGTCGATAAATATTCTTTCATGCTATTAATTTTCACTGTTTTTTTAATTGTATCAATACTCAATGTATGATTATTAACTCGCTTTTCGTTTATTATTTTATTTAAACTTATTACAAAAATATATGATTCACCATAATCGACTGCATTGCAATAAAATTAAAATCTAACATATTCTAATATGTTAAAAGTTATATATAAGTAATTATTTCCTCCGCACTGTAACGCGGGTCCAAACCTAGTTCTCCTTTATAAATATAACAAACATAGAATTAAATAAAACTCTTCACCTTAGAGTCTGTTTTAAACTCTCCCTTTTTCTACTAGGTAATGTCCCGCGCATATGCGCGGGTTGTTGTATATTAAGTTAATTAATTTTAATTTATTTATAACTTACAAAAATAAAATAATTTTTTTGAATGCTTATGACATTTTTATACTTTATTTATTAAAATCATACAATAGAAGCATACATCCATATCTCATGAATTTATTCGTTGATTAATTGTTCAATTTTAATAGTAATTTTCTTTGGTACCTTTTAGTATTTTTTGATAAAACAATAATATTGTTAATGATAAAAATAGAAATAATATTGGGAGAATTTTAAAAATATCCTTTTTCAAATACCACTTTTTAAATTTATCCCCTTTTCAAACTTTAACTAGTATAGTGAAAATTGCTCACCTTAAGCTACAATTGGGGTTTTGCCCAAAAAAAAAAACTACAATTGGGGTATTCCCAACGGAATCTCTTTATGAAAATATGGATTACTTGTTTTGGCAGACACTTAAGGATTCTGATGTTTTAATGTATCCATGGATTATGTGGTACATTTGGAAAGCAAGAAATGAAAAGGTATTTGATAATATAGATAAGGATCCTAGAGAGATCATGCGGTTGGCGGAGAGTGAGGCACAGTTATGGATAGCTGCGCAGTCTGAGGGGATTGATGAGGTTCAAACTGGGATTCCACGCACTTTGAACCAGGTTATGGAGGGCTCTAGTGTTAGTTATACTGACTATGCTTGTTTTGTGGATGGATCATGGAAAGATGGAGATAATTTTGCCGGAGTAGGCTGGAACTGTACGACGGCGAACGGTGAACCCACTATGAGTGCTGCCAACCGTAGAAGGAGTCTCTCGCCACTACATACAGAAGTTAAAGCTTTAGTGTGGGAAATGAAGTGTATGATCGAAGCAGCGAGACGCGAAGTGATTTTCATTACAGACTGTCAGATTTGGTGGAGATGGTGTCTTCCCTAGCAGAATGGCTGGCGGTTGTCACCTACTTAGAGGATATTAAAGCGGATAGGGAAGTATTTTCTTCTTTTTCTTTAGTTAAAATTCCTCGTAGTTCTAATCTTAAAGCGGATATGTTAGAACGTAGAGTGCGTGCTGAGCCGCTGATTTGTTTGTATGTAAACAACATTCCTCACTTTTGGCTATTTTGAGTCTTTATTATTGATGTTGACAAAAAAAATACTACAAGTGAATACTTATTCAAAAAAAAAAAAAACGACAAGTGTATACACCTATAGCTAATGAGAAAATGACATACTTTTTTTTAAGGCAACGTTTAGTTATTATATAAAGCTGAAATTTATGGCAACATTTATGATAATACTGTACGTTAAATGGTGGATATATATATTATTTTTTCTTTGTGCAACAAATGGTGGGGTATAGATTTAAACTTTTATTTTGTGTTGTATTAAGTAAATATGTGCGGGTTGTTATATATTTAGTTAATTAATTTTATTTTATTTATTAATTATAAAAAATAGAATAAATAAATTACAATGCTTATGACATTTTTACACTTTATTTATTTAAATTAAATTACAATGCTAATTTTCTTCAGTAATTTTGTGTATTTTTGATAAAACAATAATATTGTTAATGATCAAAATATAAATGATATTGGGAGGACTTAAAAAATACCCCTTTTCAAATACCACTTTTTAATTTTATCCCATTTTTAAAATTTATCAAAAAACCACTAAAAAGGTTAAATTTATCCATATATGTGTATAAGCTTATAAATATACACAAACTACCTTTGTTTGTGTATAAATTTTTATTTGTTTCACTGTATTAAAAATTGGTTTGATAATTATATAAAAAATTTTATCTTGTTAAAATAATTACATATTTTAAAAAATAAAAATATACATGAATATGTGAGAAATAAACAAACATCTAAAGTAAAAGAATAAAAATGGTTTCTTTAGCTTGTTTTTCTTATGGTAAGATGGTCGGAAATCAATATTTTTTAATCACATCGATAAAGTAATTTTCTTATAGCCATAAAATATTATTATCCATTTAATAGTATAAGAAAACAATGAAGAAATGAAGAAGTACATAAAAAAATATATACCTATAATTGAAAACAAAAGTTAAAGCAAATATATAATCAAGCTTTTACAATGATATCTTAAATAAGCTTTCAACCATGCGAGAACATTAAATATAAAACAAAGAAAATATTAAGGGTATCAGATATGGTGGAGGAGGATGTAAGAATGAGTATTTATAGGATAAAATATGATGTAGGTTATA